ACAACGAGGTATCCCGTAGAATGTGAAGGGATTTCACTCTAGTGGCATCCACTGACATTTCTTCCGCCATTCGTTGAATGAGATCCTTCGAAAGTGGCACAGGCGGCTGCGTCGCCCACACAGTCTTCATACTAAGCAATTCTTGAATTTTTTCGTAAAACAGAGATCCTGCCAGAGCAGCCGCCATGCTACAAATACTTAAATCACCATCGCAAGCGTCCGCCTCGCTTTGCAGTTCTTCCTCCTGTTGGGTGATAATTGCATCAACAAAGGCAAACTCATCCTTCTCTTCCCGCTTTCCCTCACCAAAAAGTCGCTCATATAACTCCTTCGCGTAGTGCACACAGTGGACCATGGTAGTGGGCCGTGCATGAATGGTACAAACGGCGACGGTCTTTTGGTTTGCTGCCTTTGGATGGCAGTCGTAGCACTCATACAGGCCGCGTATAATGGGCTGCACCTGGCCATTGTAGCCCATCGTGCCGCTCTCTATAAGAGGAACGTCTGTGCGCATACACATGCGATTCACATGTTGACGCGCCGAAACATTATCGAGTGCATTCAGCACAAGGGCAAACTGAGAAAAGAAAGCGTCATCGTACGCTTCACTTTTAATGTCCGCGTGATGAGCACGAATGACAGGCAACATTCGTTCTGAAGATGTCGATGTGAACCAGTTTAGTATTGCCTTGCGTGCGGTATCTGCTTTGGATGCACCAACGTCCTCCTTTTGGAACAAAAATTGACGGTTCAGATTCGTGGCATCGATTGTGTCAAGATCAAAAACATCCAGATTGCGAAAGCCATACAAGACAAGAACTTTGAGTAACTCGCAGCCAATGCCTCCCGCGCCCACAACAAGTATACGCTTTTCCATCAGTGTCTCTTCACCATGCAACGTTTCATCCTTTGCAGGGGAAACGCAACAATTCGCCGCCACCTGTGTCATCGCCGTTTCTGTAAGGGTGTTTGTCACCATGACCTGCCGCTCCTCCCAATACACCGGCAGATCATCCCAAACTTCTCCATTAAAAGACTCCAGTGATACCGCGGTGATTCGTGGATATCTTGCCGCTGCCTCCATATCCGCCATCCTTACTTTTTCCGGGCACTCTAAAGCAGTACACGCCGACGTTGTGAGTGACAAAGCAAGAATGCCTGGAACCAGGCAAAACGAAGCACCTTTACCGGCGGGATGAACATGGACGTCAATGTGTGGTCTACCATTGATCTTCTCATGCTGCCCCACCCATGGCTCAAATGCTTTCAGCACGGCTTCCGTGATGGAAGCAGCAGAGACTTGAAACGATGAAACATCTGTCATTTCCATGACGCCGGTAGCCCACCCCTCACCTTTAAAGCGTTTGGCGTCGCCCCTCGAAAAAATACCAACATCGTCGTCCCCGCGACTACGCGATGCTTGTGAAAAAAATGACCTCTTGGGAGGAAAAAGAAGATGTCCAATGTACACCCGCATCATCTTCCCTATGTATTCTTCTTCTCTTTTCCTGCTAGTTCGCCAAAGCAATGATTGGGACAAGACACAAATGAAAAGGAGCACACAAAGAAGTGCATGCACAAACCAACACAAAGGAATGAGGGGGAAGTGTCGAGTGGAATTGACTACTTATGCGGACAGCTTGCAATCAAATATGTCCATGTCTTCTCTGCCTGCCACGCCACAGCAGCGTCCTTGATCCGTGCCGCATGACCGCCAGAAAAAAAAAGTTCATGCAGACAATAAACACACACACACAAACAAAAAAAAACATCAACAATGCATCTTCCTTCTGTGTGTGTTTGCGACGGTAAATCCCTCACCTCTCATTCTTCTTTCTTCATTCCGTCCGCAAAAGAAATGAGGGAAATACAAGCGTCATCCAAAATGGCATGCCTCACCATCGAGACGCCGATCACGCACCTCGCTGTCACATGGCGGACCTCTCAGTGGTCGATGTATGCTCGCTTCTTCTCCAAGTACAACTGATCTCGCACCACCTTTGCCATCGTAAAGCGCCACTGATGAAATTCCTCCATCGTGAGGCGGTACCGCAGGACGGAGCCGCTGCTCAGTGTAATCGTTAGCGCGACAGTAGGGATGCCAACGCGTGATATCTGCCCGGATGACACCAGAACGTCCACAGTCCAATCCACATCCAAAATACGCTCTCGTTGAAGCGGACTGTTGACTGCCGCTGCTGATGTTGTTTTTGTTTCCGATGATGGGGATGCGGAGGACATTTCAGGCGAGCCTGGAAAGCAATGATAAAAGAAAGACGCGAATAGACGTCAAAATAAAAGGAATTAAAAAACAACAGCAACAACAACAACAAAACCAGTAAAAAACACCATTCTGTACAAGTAAGCTAGGAAGTACACACACACACACACACACATACATACATAAAATAAAAAACATGTAAAAGTGAAATTAAGCAACACGGATGGTTTGTGCAAAATAAAATAAACCAAAAACATAAAATAAGCCCCAGACATCTGTTTTTTTTTTTTTTTTTTTACTTTGCTTCTCCTTCAAGAGACACATTTATTCTGTTGCGCCTCATCACATTATTGCCATTTGCCGTCTCTTTCCATTGCAGCAATGAGTAACCTTTAGATATTTGTAAAGAGGGTGAGACATGCGCGGATTTAATGCGCCCGTGACACCACAGACGCACCAAAAGTAACACTGGGGTCCACCGGAGAAGGTGCAGCGTAAAAGGCAGCCGTGATGTTCGCAACGGCGGTGGCACGACACTTCTCCTTCTGCGCTGTGCTTTCAAGATGCGTGCAGGTTGGATAAGGAGGCATCGGAAACGCAGAGTCCCTATTGTCATCGCACAACTGAAATAGATTAATGCACCGGTTTGAGCAGCGCGCTAACATCAACGCCCGCTCCAGCCAATTTGGTTCTCTCTGTACATCGCGACACGATGGTGGTAACCCGACAAGCCAATCGGCCTCGGGGAAAAAAGGCTCATCATCCAGCGATGAAAAATTCTTCTCAGCATTCCCTTCCCTTCCTTCAGAGGATTTACTTTGGACGTGATCATGCGTCTCGATTCCCACAAACGCCGCTTCACTCATCCCGCAATCGCCATCATGAGGCACGACTTCGTTGTCAGCCGCATCAACCTCAGGTGGCACAAGCGATTTCGCCGTCACATCGAGCGATTCATGGCTTTTTTTTCGCTTTTCGTTCCGCAGAAGTTTTGTATGGGGAAGAATGTATGCGTGCAGCACCGACCGCGACCGCTTAGGCATCACCCCTTCTTCACGGCCTCATGGCAACGACGACCACAAACGCCACCATACAGAGAGAGAGAGAGAGAGAGAGTCACAGACAGATAAATACGTACGTAAGTACGCACACACACACACATCGCCGCCCATGGCAACTATCAAAGAGGGCAGCAACAACCCCCGCAATGCACAGAAGCGGAAAGGACACACAGTAAAAAGGATAGGATGTAAAAGAAACAAACAAACAAAAAAAAGAAAGAAAAAGGAAAAGAAGGGATCCACTAATAAGGGGATGGGGAAAATAACCGCACCAACCTACCTTCTTTAAAGTCTTATTAAAAGCATATAATCCTTTGCATATTCTTTTCTTTTCCAGAGGCAGTGCCGAATAAATATCAGACAACAGCGTTCATTCCTGCATGGCTGCACAACAGGGAGGGGTTATTTTTTTTAAATTTTTCATCCCTCCTAAAAGTCGTCGTCTCTTCGTGACTACAGAGCCAAAACTCCCGCTTTTTTTTTTGTTTTTGTTTCTGTTACATCTCCATCTGGCGGTAACCATCAAATGGACTCCACAATAGGGAGGGAGAGGGAACAACAACCTCAACAATCAAATAAAAAACAACAACCAACGCTGCAGCTAATCAAGTAAATGTAAATATATATATTTATACTAACACACACACACACACACAGGCACACACACAGGCACACGGCAACGCAAACAAAACAAAACAAATCAAAGAGAAAAGAAAAAGCACAACAGAATCGTATAAAACATAATATAAAATCTCATTTTTCAAATCGCAACAGTTTTCTTTCCTTTTTTTTGATTTCTCCTTTTTGTGTTATCACGTGTTCCTCCCCTGCGTTGCCTCATCCTTGGCAGGCTTGTTTGAGCATGTTAACTTGCTCCGTCATGACCTTCGCGTTGGCGACCCGCTGAAGGAGTGCCACTGTGACGGATGCGGCGCTGAAAATGCTGCCACAGATGGTGATAGCAGGCGATACGAGGCCCCACAGGCCCCTGGAATGAAGCTTCGATGCTATACCGGCGTAATCCAAGGCAACATCTGCCGATGCGACCGTTTTGGATTTTATTGCTGTTGTTGCTTGTGAATTATCAGAATTCATGGAAAATACTCGCCGCAGCCACTGCCCCCATGAGGTGGAATCAAAGCCCAACGACAATTCTTCCTGCCCCATGGCGGTTCCTCGAAGTTTGGCAAAATTAAACAGCTCTTTCAAAACACGGCCTGTGTGTTCTTCCCGCAGTTGAGCTTGATACTCCATGTAAATAATATTTCCCAAAACAACAGCCGTCATAGCAGCAGCCAACCACATACAAATCCTACTCTCACGGTAAAGTTTATTGACCGAGTCATCAAGAAAGACGGCAGCCTCCGTTAAAACTTCAACTTCGGCTTTTGTTAATGCTACCTCCACATATCCCTTCTTTGGGGCTAATTTTTTTCCAGCTTCCGTAGACCCATCTACTTCTACTTCTTCTTCTTCTTCTCCCAACTGAAACCTTGCTGTGACGCCGTAGTGATCAGAGATGGGACAGAAACGTGGTTCCAATGTGTTTGCCGAATTTTCATTTGTTTGGCGTTCCGAATAGGCAAAAAGTTGCCCGCACCAAAACGCACAGCTCAATCTTGAGAACCATTTCAAGGCCTTTACCCCAATTCCTTCTTCTGGTGGGATTTGAACCTCATTGTTCCCTGTAAAGACAACCACACCCGCAGGTCCTTCTTCACCATTGATTGGCATCTTAAAAGGGTAGTCTGCGGCCGCATCCGGGCAGTCGTTAAACGCAGAGAGACGAAGTGTATTCGATGTAAAGAAGATATGATCAATCTGACACGGCACATCACCTCCCTCCACAAACCAACCATCTTTGGGTGAGTTAAACATATTTGCATCTGAATATGTCAGTGTGACAGTGTTGATTCTTTTTTCACGCTCAGACATCTCTGGACGGTACATAATGGATGGTGGAAGCACCGAAACCAACTTGTACCCGCGTTTACGTAATAAAATGAGCATTGCTTGCAACTCCAGAGAGCGCTGTGTTGCATTAAAATCTCCTCCAATAATAACACGATCGGGTGGGATGTGATGTTGACGAGATAAATTCCGCAAGAGAAATTGCTTGGCTCAAGCGAACCGACAAGTAGAGTTCATCACGCCAATTTAACAAACGAGCGGTTTTCTGATAGGCTGCCACGAGATGTGTATTGTACAATAACACCTCTTCATAGGGTGGATCGGGGCTCACACCCCTCCTTGTGGTGCATGGGACATGGATGCGCAAGAGCGATGCCCCCTTGTTGGCGTAATAGTCACCGTGAAGTACACGTTCAGGGTACCCTTGCAGTGGAAACGTAAAAAACAATGCAGATTTAATGGGAAAACGAGAGATGATGGCAATACCGGAACCGTAAAAAGCACTTGGAAATCGCTTGAAGTATCGTTTCTCCCGCACTTCACTGGGCAGATTGGAAATAATGAGCTCAAAGTCTTCCTTCGAAAACTGTTCCTGGAGCAAAATAATATCATAATGAGCAACTTTCGCGGCAAATCGTGCCATACGGGCGGCACGATATTTGGAGTTAAATATCCCCCACAAGTTAAAGCTCAGGACCGTAATTTCAGTTGGCATTCCGTCCGTGTGGTTGAAGATGAGGAATGGAGACTCGTTCGCTGCAGAGGTCTTGGCGTGAGATGTTTCTTTTACTTGCTTCTTGTCTTTTTATCAGCTGTAGGAATCAATAGATCTAGAGGAGACAGACGCAATAATAATAATAATAAAGAACACACTAAAAAAAGTTATTGTTGGTTGTTTAAATCCATCAAGTATTTCTCACTAAATTCCCTCATCCCTTGTCCCAGAACCTCCCTCCCTTCAAGGCCATTGCTACGATACCACTCATCATCTATATACATATTGTACTATATGATATTCTAAAGCCACGACAGCTCCTATCCGCTAATATTCAAAGCGTAATTACGCATTGGCCGTCTGGTCCGCCACCTTTGGCATCCACGGTGCGACGCGATTGACGGGGTATGACATGCGCATATGCATCTCTGGACGACGCATGTGTACACGAGGTTGCAGGAACCGTTTTGCCTCCAACGGAATGTCAACAGGTACTTTAAGTGTTACCTGCTGTTGCTGCTTTTCCATTTCTGTAATAGCCAGATGCAGCCATTCACCATCCAATTCCTCTGTGTGGTGAATGTGATCGTGTATCGCCTGAACATGTGCCTTTGCCACACCGACCTGCTCGTGTACAATGTGCGCCACCTCATTTGCCTGTTCTTGGGTTACTTCCGCTATCTTCTGAGCCGGGTTCCCTGCCCACAATTCCCATGCATGAATACGTGTGTCTTTCGGCACATTTGACCCTGCAGCAACGATTGCTCCATTTTCAACAACTGCACCAAGCGCAACAGACACACCTGGCCCAATGTATACTCCGTCTCCAATGGTGCAACAGTCCAGTGTGCTGCCAACACCAATGTAAACACCATTTCCAACGTTTACTTGACCTAAAAAGGAGGCACGATCCATCACAACTGTGTGATCACCCAAGACTGTTTCCTCCCGCACATGGTAGTTACGAATAACGACATGATAGAAAATGCATGTGTCATGTCCAAGTACGACGTTTCCACTAAGAAAGGCACTCGGCGCAATAAAAGCGGAATCCTGCGTCCACGGTAACATCCCACGGTAGGCACGAACGTTCTGGTGACGTATGACAGGATACATGTGGCGGTTTGTCTGTAGATAATGTGCCATGATTGCAAGCCGGGCCCCCACGTCCTTCAGCATAAAGCCAAAGTACGGCACAAAGCCTGGAACAATATTTGCAGGCATGCCGATCCCGTGGCAAACAATTTTGACACAAAGAAAGACAGAGAGTGTCTGGGAATTACACGCCAATTACTTTTTCTTCCTGCTAAAAAGGAAACAAAAACAAGAAAAGCAAAAAAACAAACTAACAAGGAACAGGTATGATGCACATTGCGACGTGGACGCGACCGGCCCCAAGCGGTACTGCCACGAGGGCTCCGATGAAGACAGAAGAAGAGGTGTATTTATCCATAAAAGTGACAAAAAGTCCATCTCAACCCTTCCCTCCCACAAAAATAAAAAAGCATACATATATATATATATATAAAGACATGTACACAGATAAGAAGGGAGACGGCAAAAAAAAAAATAAATAAATAAATAAAAAAAATAAAAAGAAAAGGCCAGATTTGCATCGGGAGTGCAAGGCACAGAATCGTTCGCAGTGGAACAGGTTTTAGGTGTATGTGTATACATAGGAAACAACCTCTCATTTCAACGACTCTGCCCCTCCAATGGAATTTAAAAAGGCCTTTAATGACCGTAATTCCGATACGACATTCTGCATTGTCATCAAATCCGAATTGAAATCATCACGTTGTTTTTCTCTTACAGGAGGGAGAATTGTGACCGCCTCTTTTCTTTCTTTATTAAAGGACTCATGGCTCTTTTCCAGATCGTGAGAATTCTCATTCAATTCCCCTGGCAACTCCGTGTGTAATGGAGGAAAAACGGAAGTGTGTTTCGGTGATGGCGCTGAGAATGACAATGACGAGGAGGAGGGGGACGACGACGATAACGATGGTGGTGATGATGAATGAGAATTACTCGGTAAACGTGGCGTACTTGTAGGCGGTTTCACTGAAGCAGAAATCGCAGTTGAGGCATCAATACCATTGGAAAGCAGTGCGTATTGCAGTGCCTCGTTCAATCGCACCATTTCATTCAGTGCTGACTGTAGTTGTAGCACCTGTTCCACGAGCAGTTTCCTCTCCTGCTGCACCCGTGCCACTTCCGCTTCCTGGGAAGCAGCATGGGAGTAAGCGGCAGAATACCTTGCATGAATTGTCCGCCGGATTTCAACGAGTTGTTCCTCCAATTCCTCCCGTCGTGTTGTTTCCCTCCGTGCGAGGGTGTCTAATTGCTGCAACTGTTCGTTTTTACTTTTTATCTCCGCCTCCAATCGTCCATTCTTTAACCTAAGATATTGCTGCCCCTCCTCCAGAACGCGATTGACGGCAGTCAACTGCATGGATGTATACCGCTCCCGCTCAACTGCTGCACGGTGGGGACAATGTACATTCGGGCAAAATTTGTCTATGGAATCCGACACAAGAAATGATGACTCGGCCCGTTGCATCATGTCCACGCCTCCGCCTCCGCCCTCTTTCTCTCTATTTCCTTGTCTCTAGATAATATTGCAAAATCACTCTAAATGATGAATGCAAAAATAAAAAAATCCTTGTTGATTTGTCTGTCTGTCTGTCTGTCTGTCTCGCTACGTGCTTGCCTTGCACATCTACACATGTGTAGGCAAAAGTACAGTGAAGGGAATAATTTCTTACACCTCTGTGAAACAACTCCCTCCCCCCCTCTCTCTCTTTCTATTTAATGAGAAGAAAAAAAAAAAAAAGAAAAAAACTCCAACAACACAAGAAGCCTGCCCCCCTTTCCGCTCCTATTCATGTAGAAAGTAATAAACACACCACTTCTCTTCCCTTCCTTTCCACCCACCCAATCACCCCTTCTCAATCATCGTGTTAGACGCCCTTCAGTCTTTACGCCCACAGAAGGTGCCTTTGGAACAATTCTTCCCTTTTTGCCTCTCGCCCGGCATGCATGCAAGAAGTAACTCACAGGCGACATGACACGAGACAGTAACGGGAGGGTGGCTGCACAAAATGCAAACTGCATCGCATACAACGGGTACGTCAAGGCATTAGCGACAAGATAGTTGCACAGTAGACGCGGAGAGAGACGTAGTCCACCAACAACAGGCCCTACTTGTGACCATCGTTCCAAATCGATAAGAGAATCTGCAGAAAGAAGTTTTAACCAATCAAACACATCGCCAGTGGAGAAGCCGTCATTGTGAAGTGCGTAGAGTACCGCAAGAGTCATGGACTCGCCAAAAATGTAAAGGTACATGGCAAACCCCACACCACGCTCCTGCAACACGCGATAAAAACGACTTCTGCTCATGGTCGGTCCCGACGCAGCAGCTTTTGATGAATGTTTTGCAATTATTATTGGCTGATTCCTTTTGCCTCTCACATGAGAAACAGAAGCAGGACGTCCTGCACGTTTACCCAATGTCGCCACAGGAGCCACAGTTGCCACAAACCGCCGTGCGAGAGAAGGCGACCATAAAATACATGTCGTTGCAGATAAATATACCCCCCGTTGCATGTTCACTACTCCCATTGACAGTGCAAACACCGGAAGAGAAAAATAAAATAAAATAACAAAAAATAAAAGAAATACAAGTAAAGTAATAAAAATAAAAATGAAAATAAAATAATAAGAAAAAAAAAGAAGGGGGGAATATCTATATCTCTATGTATAAATATTACATTGCATGTATAAATATAAATATATAAATATATACGGGCAATTTCATAATAATAATAATAATTAAAAAAAAAAAGTTTGTAACGCAGCCAATGGCATACATAGACAGAAGCAAGCACACACACACACACACAAATAAATAAATAAATATGTCCAGACAACGAGTCAACAAGAAGAAGAAGAAAAAGAAGTGGTTTCGGCTCCAAATGGTGCCCCGCCCACCCACCAGGAAAAAAAAAAAAAAAAGAAAAAACCGACTCAGTTCACAGTGAAGACTACATGATTTTTAAACCAAACATCCCTCCTCTCCTCAAAAGAAAAAAAAAAAAAAGTTATATAAATAAATATATATTTATAATTTCTTTCACTTTGTGTGAAGAAATTCCATCAACGGTGGGTCATAATAGTTTCCCTCTCTCTCGAGTGCATTTGTAAAGGCAAAGGAGTCGCCATTTTCACGATCTGTGATATCACTATCGTCATCTGTAGCCTTGTATTCACCCTCCATGGTGTCATCAAGGCGTTCTGATTCAACCCCTTCCAATTCTGCCAAAGTGGCACCATTCTCAGGTTCTTCATATAAAATATGCCTCAAACCACATAAAACAGGACACAACACTGCCAATCGAGGTAACGTCTCCTCAAAAAGTACCAAACGTGTTGCATCGTTTTCAATCGTTGCGGAAAGAAAAAAAATGGCTTGATATCGAAAAAAGGCATCATGAATAACAAGAGAACGAATAAGTTTAAGCTCTATAAACCGTTGTGAACAAATCCAACCAAACACATTGTAATTCGTAATTTGCATTCCAAGTCCACGGATTACCATCACCTCTTCAATGTGCGCACGCTGGAAACCAGCCACCATACGCCATACGGACAATATACAACAAAATATCATCAAAAACAGACGCGGCAAAAACGAATTTGGTGTCCATTTGTCCATCAAAAGAGGAACGACACCGTCAATCTTCTTTTCAGTACCATTAAGGGAAAAATACATCCAATTTGCTCCTTGCAGAGGGCCTAAAAAGGTAGGTAGGGACGGAAGCGCTAAAGCAATCAGTACCAACAGCAACATCACGTCGTTGACCGAAAAAATACGTAAAAGAAACGACGTGTTTGGTCCAAAGGGGTTGCGCTGACAAACACGGTACGACCGAAAGCAGTCATTGTAATCGGTCTGAAAAACATCCACCATGACGTTGGTGCTGGTGATGTGGCCCTCCAGCAACACTTTCGGCGAGACATGCCTCGAGGACACCGAGTCGGTCTTCGTTTCACTCATCAAATTCAAAGGCAAACACGAGGGGGTTTCTCCCCCACAGATGCTTCACGCAATAAGTTGCGCAGTTAAAATAATAATAATAATAATAATAATAATATGACGGTGCAATGCACTCTATAATATAATACTGAATGATACGGTGTGTAATGTACCCACTTTCCCTCAACTTCCACCAACACACGTTGTGTTTCCACTGTGTGATGATCACCTCCACATTTAAAAAATTCAAAACCAACCAAACAAACAAATAATAATAATAACAATAATAATATGAAAGTCCCAGAAATTCATTTTCTTCTCAAGACAAGGCAATGACATACATAAAGAAATCATAAGCGGCAAATGCCCCTCCCCCCCCCCCCCCAAAAAAAAGGGTAAAAATAAACAAAACTACGG